GTGATGTATGTCTTCCAACCCCACGTCTTTCTCCTTTTTATTTACCAGCTTATGATGGTTAGTTTAGGGCATATTTCAATTAGCATACTTATGATAGCATGTTTACATTCATTTATCTGTCTTGCATGCACCGGGCTCGGCGCATCATACTAACTGCATTGTATTTCAATTCCGAGTTGAATACTTGTTAGTTGTAGCATTTCACATGCCATCTTTAGAATAGCCGAGCCTATTGTAGTTGCATTCCTACATGTGTTGCATTAGGCATTTCAACATAGTTAGGATCATGCATGGATTTCTAACATAGCTTCTGTTTTAGCTTGGAGTACTCGATAAGTGTTTATGCTTTAGCATCGTTGCATGTGTGTAAGTGACTGCCATGATAACATGCTTACCATGAGGCTATGTGCTTACGTGATATACCTGCCTGAATGCCTGTGGTTGAAGGTTGGGTTGCTTGAGTTGGGATAATTCGTCGAAACCCATGTTTTAGCCTACTTGCCAGTAGCAAACTTCAATCCATTTTCAAAACAAACGGATGTGCGATGCTTTATTCCAACTTAGGCAATCCAGTCTATACTTGTATGTTGTGCGCATCACATAATAAATCTAGGCTAATAACCGGAATAAGAGCACATAATGTTTTCAAAACTCGATATCATGGTTAGTAGAGGCCGATCTTTGATCGGGCGAGCGGGGGTGCTCACGAAGTGACCTTCTCCAATCGTACCCAAGTTCTCGAGTCGATGCAACTTTGGTGATGACGGACACGTGGCCTTAGGCAAACGAGTCAGGGTTTCCTAAATTCTCCAAAATAAAATATTTAGGTGGCGACTCTGTATCTGGCAAAGCAGTCTACGTTTGGCACTTCTTTCAAAAAAAATCTGTTTTCAAAAACAACTTGTCGGATTTGGACTCTTTGATGATTCATCGGTCTTGCATTGCACTCTTCGAGATTAGATATAGGACCATGACATTTGAGTCCCGAACTGTAGTGAGCCCATATGAACAAAACGGGATTTCCCTCCTGGGACGTTCGGGGACGTCTACAATGCTCTTGCCTAAAAATCATGCATATGCTTAAAATGTGTACTATATATTGAAATTCATGATGTGCTATTTATTAAAATGTGTGCTATATATTGCCATATATTAAAAATCAGAGTTTATGGGATCGTTCAGGTCCGGAAATAGAGTAAGGAGACGGGATGAGGAAGCCATAGAAGCGAACAGACTGAGGTTTGGCTTCCTCCGTTCAGTTTCTTTGTCTCTTGATGAGGAAGAAGAAACAGAAGAGAGTGGTGAAGAAGAGCTAGAAGATAATGGTGAAGAAGAAAATGCAAGAGTGAGTGATTAAGAAGGCAGCAAAAGAGAAGAAGACAAGGAGTGAGAGGGAGCCGAGGCGCGTACAAATCGAGACCTGCTTTTGTTGGCCAATGACACAAAAGTGAGGCCGCGTGTCAAATACGTTTATCGAAGGCAAAAGAGAGGTGCGAGAGAGTTGTATGTGTAAGCATATATGTATATATATGTTTTGAATTGTGTAGATGCCATTTATCCCTATCATTTTCCTCCTCCTCTTCCTCCTCCAGATTCTGACCCATGATTTCCTTTTGATAATGTCACAGGGGGAGAAAATTATATGATGTTATGTATTATGGTATTATTTTCAAACTAATATGATGTTATGTATTTATAGTTTAATAACTTAATCTTATATCATGTTATTGATTAAAACTTATTTATTACACATGTGCTAACCTATGTATTTAGAAATGAATTCAGGGAGCATGACTTGAGGGGGAGCCATTGTTACTTGGTATTATTTTCAAACTAATCTGATGTTATGTATTTATAGTTTGATATATTAATCTTATATCATGTTATTGATTAAAGTTTATTTATTACATATGCGTTAACCTATATATTTAGAAATGAATTCATGGAGCATGATTTTAGGGGGAGCCCTTGTTACTCCCAAATCAAATCAAATCAAAACATCATTATGTGCCATCATCAAAAAGGGAGAGATTGTTAGACTTATTTGTTTTGATGATTTATTTAATTATGTTTTAATTTATTTGAAAGAGAAAAATAGAATCTAAAATTTATTTTGATGATTTATTTAATTATATTTTAATCAAAATTTATTTTGATAATTTATTTGAAAGAGAAAAATAGAATCAAAATTTATTTTGTTCCATTATTTCTCACATAAACCTTTATCCTAAATGTTGTTAAAATGTATTTAATATTTGATTAAATAAGAAGTTCAAACAGCCCAAAACAAAGGTTCAAACAGCCTAGCACAACAGCAGGCCAAAAGGTTCAAGTGAAAGATATTCAAATTCGTAATGATGGAAATACAACAGCTATAAAGGTTCAAAAGGTTCAAGTGGAAGATATTCAAATTTGTAATGATGGAATGGAAGATATTCAAATTGGTAATGATGGAAGTACAACGGCTATAAACGACTATAAATTCAAATGACTACAACAGCTATAAACAACTATAAATTCAAATGAATACAACGACTATAAACAGCTATAATTTTCATTATATATACCAAACCCTCTAATGTAAACAAATGACAAAAAACCTGAAAATATTCTTTGATCTATAATCACTCACATCTATTCTAAGAAATTATACACTGAGCCTTATAGCTTTAAGCCCATCTTTCCTGCGTGAGGTTTACAGAAAAATTAGAGCTTCATTTTTATATCCATCTTTGAGAGATAATTCTTGTAGCTTTCTATGAAAGCAAAAACACCTTCTTTTCAACCTTGTAAGAGTGTAGTACACACAGTGTTCTTGACTTAGAAAGTCAGTGTAAAATCTGTGGAGGATTGCTCCGTCTGTGAAAAGGTTGCTAGCACTCTGTGAATGCTAGAGTATAGTGGAAAATCTCAAGTAAAGCTTGAGGAGTGCACAGATTTGCAAGGGTTTGGACTTGTGAAGTCTGTGTAAAATTCGTAGAGGATTGCTCCATTTGTAAAGAGGTTGCTAGCACCCCTATGAAGTTAGAAGATAGTGGAAAATCTCAAGTGAAGCTTGAGGAGTGGACGTAGGCCAAGTTGAAGCCGAACCATTATAAATTTTTTTGCCTCTCTCTCCCTTATCTCTTTATTTTATTTAAAATTTTCATAGCTATATTTCACATTTTTACCGTGCTAAAATTATTAACTGACATAGTTGTTAAGATACTTGTTTTAATTATTTTTATTTCATTATTTATATTTATCTATTGTGCTAGTTATAATTTTTATTAAGGTATTATTAATTTTAATTGTAAAAACCTAATTCACCCCCCTCTTAGGTTGTCTTTTAGGTAACATAGATGAAATTGAATAGGTGTCGAGCCTTCCAGTTAATACTGGTAAAAATGACAGATTATAGGTGTCAAGCCTTCCAGTCAATGCTGGTAAAAATGACAAATTGGTAGTACTTGTATAGTCTATTTGTAGACATCGACATAGGGATTACCAGAGTCGTATTTATCGCCCTTGAAATAAATTGTTAAGTTTTGAACAATTGAAATTGCATGATATCATTGAGCATGATGGTTTTCAAAAAATGAAAATGTGACTTATCTTCAAAAAGGGCATAGTATGGCATGTGCATTTCATCTCTTGAGTCTTGCATAAAATGTATACACTTTGTTAAGAATTTCCTACTGGGCTTCATGCTCACCCTACGAGATTTTTGTGCAGGAAAAGATGTAGTGATCCCACCCAATTAGGGGTGTGGAAGTATGTGTATTGGGAGTACAATACTCTCATTTTGCTGTGACTCTGTGTGTAAGCCAAAGGCTGTGTTTGTGTGGGTTTGAATAACCGTTTTGTGTAACTAGACTCAAGCCTTGGAAACTTGCAAATCCCTTGGGGGTATTTATTTGTTTATTTACTTGTTATTGGATTAATGTATTGTTACATAAAGAACTATTGTATTATGTAATGTAAGTTTGGAGATTTATATTCAGTTTTCCTTGAAAGAGTCATGATTGTTGTATTATCATTTGGGTTAGAAATTTGAGGCGTTACATTTGTTTGGTTTGATTTTCATAATTTATTTTCAGAATTTTTTTAAGAAATTAAAAATTAAATTGGTAAAAAAAAATTTAAAACACTTAATATTTTTATACAATTTTATCTTTTGGGAGGGTAGAAATAATTTTTTAATATTTATTTTTGCTAAATTAGTTTCTATTAATTTTTTTTTCTAAATAGTCTCAAAAGCTTAAGTAAAATATGGTGACAACTTTGATATCATTATTAAATCAATCCATTAAATTAAAAAATCTAAAATTAAAAATATTTCATATATTAAACATATCGATTACACAAAGCGTAATAAACATCCATTACATAATAACTATTCAAAAATATCTATTAACAACAAAAATAATTATTCATTACATGATAACCATCCAAAAACATCAACAAAAATGACTATTCATTATATGATCATTATCCAAAAACATATTAAAAATTAATTTGATAAAAAAAAATAAAAAAATATAAAAGATTTATCATTTTATATATAATTTTATCTTTGATAGATAGAAATAGTTTTTTAAAAATTTAAAAATATCTTTTTGATATTTATTTTGTCAAATAAGTTTATATATTATAAAATTGACGACTTTACTCTTGAAATATAACATTTAGAACGACTTTACTCTTTATACATTTTCCATTTGCAAAGGAAATGATGTCTTTAATTGTTCTCATTTAGAACGAGATTCAAAATTAAAGATCAAATATATCACAACTGAAAAGTTAAAAACTTAAAGTGATATAAATCTCAAATTATAAAGACTACTAGTATATTTCGTCTTAAAACAAAAGTTGCAAAATAAAAATAAAAGTAAAAAGGGGGTGTTTAGATTTAGAAGTTGCTCTATATCCAAACACTCCCTTTGTCACTTTTGTCGTTACGGCAAATAGTGGTATCTGTGTGTTCGTTTTTTAGAGGAAAACCCGCCAACTACGGACTTGGTTCATAATAGCAGGTAGTAGTAGTTGAAGTAGGTATTTTTAACAAATTCTCTCTCTCTCTCTCTCTCAAAATTTGAATAGATTGTGCTAATTTTGTCCAATTCACCCCCTGATTTTCTATAGATAGGGTGGATATACATAGCCAGAGAATTTACCCTACTCAACATGTTACATTCTAAATCAAGGTAACCAAGTTCTCGTCCTCTCTCTCTCTCTCTCTCCCTTTCTCTCTCTCTCTGTGATCAAATTTTGTATCAATGTGACTTCTCTTCTGCCTTTTAATTTTTTTAATTTTTTGTGGGTATTGTAGTGCTATTTTTAGTTTCATTATTTCATGCTTTGACATGTATTTTGCTTTTTTGGGTATCTATGTAACCATCAAACAATGACTTTTCAGCATTGAATTTGAGTGATTTACCCGTTTTATAGATCTGGGTCATTGTCTTTCCATTTTGGAAGAAAGAACACAAACACACATCATCTGTTGTTTCCTGGACCATTTATGCATCAAATTTTTGTAGAGGTGACCTTCTCCTATCACAAGTTGATTCAAACGCCCTTAAACCAGTTAGCCCAAATCCCTATTCCCCCAGGGTTGCTTGTCTGTCTCTCTTGCATTTTGCTTTTCTATCATTGTACTCAATACTTTTTTGTTTGTCTCATATTAGTATAAATTTAATTGAATTTGTGGGGGTTGGGTCTTGGGATTAATGATGGGTTTTGTGTAATTTGATTGTAGAAACAGATTGTTAGAGCTTGAAGAATGCAACATAATACAGGTCAGTTTGAGGAAGAGCTGAAGATGACAAAGGAGCAATTGGATATGACACAAGAAGAACGAGATCGAGCCTGTGATGAGCTCCGAGAGATGAAAATAGTGGCTCAGGAGGCCAACATGAACCTCAGCGAGAGGTTGTCCTCTCTGATGGTTGAAGAGGCAAATGCAGAGATTAATACCGTGAAGGAGTTCCTCTCAAATTCAAAAAAAGAATTGAACATGAAAGAGGAGAATATCGAGTCATTAAAGTTTGAACTTGATAAGGCAAAACAATTTGAGGTCATACTGGCAGAGAGAGATGTCTCGTTTGATAGGTTGAAAGAGGAGTTTAGTAATTTGAAAGCTTCTGAGGCTCGTGCAATGGGATTGTTATTTGAAAGTAAGAAAAGAATTCAGGAACTTGAGGATGAAATAGGGAGGGGAAATCTATCCAAAACCAAAATGATTGATTCAGTGGTTTCCCAAACCAAACAGCTCGAGCAAACCAAGATTGAACTCGAAGAATCCAAGCTTGAAGTTGTTTGTCTTCACGAGAAGATAGCAAAATTGAAGGTGTCACCTAGGGAATGTAAACGAGATCTTGGTGGAGCTTGCAATCATGAGGATTTAGATTCCACCAAGGAAGCATTTGAAAGTCTTAGTTCTGAACTTCAATTGATGAAAGAGAATTTGGCTCGTTCTCAAGATAGTGAGAAAGTTGCCTCATCGAAGGCCAAGAGTCTAATTGAGGAGATGAACTTGCTTAAAAGTGAACTGACATTGGCTATCGAGGCAGAAGAGAAGAGCAAGAAGGCCATGGATGATCTAGCATTAGCAATAAAAGAGGTTGCAACAGAAGCCAAACAGGTGAAGGAGAAACTCGGCTCAACTGAATTGGAGCTAGAGCACGTAAAACAGGAGGCAGAACAATTGAAGGTGATGGTGAGGAGCACTGAGGAGAGGTATCAGAAGCTATTGGATGAAGCAAAGAAAGAAAATGAGCAGTACAAAAACACTGTTGAGAGACTGAGATTAGAAGCTGAGGAGTCACTCTTAGCATGGAATGACAAAGAAATAGAGTTTGTCAATTGCATAAGAAGGGCTGAAGACGACAGGACTGTTGCACAAGAAGAAAACACCAGACTAATTGAATCCCTAAAAGCAACGGAGAACACAATTACGGCTTCAAGGGAAGAAAATTTCAAATTGAGGGATATACTTAAGCAGGCACTAAATGAAGCTAATGTTGCAAAAGAAGCTGCAGCCATCGCTAGGGAGGAGAATTCCCAACTGAAGGATTCCCATGCTGAAAAAGATGAGGCTTTAGATTTTCTTGCCCGAGAAAATGAACGCCTTAGGATCAATGAAGCTGCCGCCCAGCAGAGCATCAAGGAGTTAAAATGGTTGCTTTCTGTAGCATCAGCAAAGGAGGAATCAAAGACCGAGGAGGGTAAGGAGCATGGAGTGATATTTAAGCCTGCAAGCTCAACGGCTGAGAAGATTGAAGACCGCAAGAATCTAAACAAAGCTTTTAGTTTCGATCTTAGTGAGCTAAAATTTCCAATTGAATTGGAAGATGTAAATGAAAAGGTTGTAGATGAGGACCCTGTTAAGGCTGAGGCACTTAAAGGCTCAATATTTGATACTGTAGATTCGCCAATGTCAGAGCCCCATACACCTCTTCACAGAAGGGTGTCCTCCTTGTTCACAGATGATGGAGAAATAATAATCCATTCAGAAGATTTGGATCATCTAGAAGGTGCCCATCTTGATGATGCAGAACATGATAGGAATTCGCAGAGAAAAAGAAAAGCATTGCTATATAGGTTTGGTGATCTTCTGAAGAGAAAAAATTTGCACAAAAAGGAAGCATCTGTTGAATAAGTCCTTTTTTCTTCTTTTTTTCCTTTTTCTCTTGCTTCGATTCGACTTTACTGTCCATATATAGTTTGAACAACATGCAACTAAAGCACCTAATACTAGGTTGCATGTAAACCAACATGGCAACCATTTGTTGTAATTTGTAAATAACAATGAGAACATGCTTTAATAGAAAACACTTTCTCAAAAGGCTTACATATTTGGCAGATCATGTTTATGTATTCCTTTTTTAAGGTAATAATTTACTGCAATGTCCCTACAGCTGCTGCTTACGAGCGTTTGCAGGTGATTGGAAAAGGAAAATGTCGATGAATAATGATGCCATACAAACTAACAAATTTCACATTTTTTTTCCTATTTACATGAGTTGGTCTTGTCATATTATTGTAATGAGTACTGTTTCAGATACCAAAGTTCTATTATCACATTCAACATCTATGAGAAAGAAAAGTATGTAATTTTGTTAGTTTTATATAGTATTTTTCCAGGGCAGATAGAAAACCATAATTACATACAATGCATACCTGTTTTCCATTGCTTGCTTTTATCTCACTTCGTTGTAAATATGCTAAACTTTCGACATTGGCTTATCTAGAAATAATTTACTTGATTTGCATTGTTGTTGGTAATATTCATTTAGATTTGCTGGCAAATATATATGTCATTACAATTGAGAACTTCAACAATAATGTTATGAGGCATGTCAATGTAATAAATTGCTTTTTAGGGGTGCTGTTGGCTGTATAATTTGTAATACTCAATCGTAGAGTGACACGTGGCACGTAAAGGGCAATGGGGGGAATTAATGCAAGCCTCCAATCAAAGACGGACATGTGGTAATTTGTATTGGTAGTATCGGATCTGCGTAGCACTAAACAGTCGAGAGATACAAGATGATGTGGCCTAACAGTTACTCATAAATTTAAATTTAAAATCAGGAAGAAAACCTATTTGCAAAGAGTGGCGTAGTGGGACTGACTATGAGAGAACATGTTCAGCAATCATGGGAAGACTATTCGACGGTTATCATTGAAAAGTATAAATAGCAGAGAAGGCCCCAGAATGAAGGACCCAGACTCAGATCCAGAAACTAATTTATTTACTTCATTTTCTTTCTAGTTATACATTTCCAGTTCTTTATGTTTCCAGCACTTCAATTCCTGTACTACATTTCATTTCCTATGAGTAGTTTCAAATAGGTTGTTGTTGTAAACCTCTACGAGGCTGGGTCAGATCATTGTAAGTTTTCATTTACGTAATAAAATTCAAATTCTGAAATTGTTCTTTACTTATTATTATTTACTAATTTCTCCTAAACAAGTCACCAGTAAAAGTCCTTTTCATTGAGGCTGAAAGAACTATAACACAATTGTTTGATAATTGGTTAACAATTCGTATTCTGTAAGAATTAATTGATCCTTGCTAGCACGCTTAAATTTACATTATTAACCCTCAAAAGCCAAAAAGCCAACATATATTTTTGGTACGCCCAGTGGGACCCTAAAATGGTTAGACGTAAGAGACAAGGAGAAAATGAACGCCTGGAAGAATGTGTGGAGGGAGAGGGAGAGGTAGAAGTACTTGATCCAGATGATAATGTGATAACACATCCTATGGAAGCACCTATCTCATCAGAACCTATGGTCGAACAAACCAGTACCTCAGAGCATGCACCACATGTTCAAAATATTGGACGAAGCCATAGAATTGGATCATCCACTGTTCTGTCTACCCAGCCAATGAATCCGTGGGGAGGCTTGGTAGATGCAATGGGTTAGCAGTTAATGTATACAATGGAAAGATAGGCAACATCCTTCATGGATCGAATGAATTCCTATCAACCAACTATCACAAGGCATATAGAGGAAAATTCAAATGTTCTTCAGCAAAGATTGGCTAGAGATAAACAGCTTATGTAAATTAATGGGCATATTAATGTCAGACTAGTAATCAAAATTATGAAAGACCATTACCTGTACCTCAGTCATGGTATAAGCCTCCTTCGAGGCCTTTAGTAAATCAAAATATCTCATTACCTAATAGTGAAGCCATACAAATTGGTGGATCTGGGCCAACACAAGAAAATGGCATGAGAATGTTTTCAAATCCCATGTTCGAAACCATGCCTGGAACAAGGGGGTTCACTAACCCTCTGTTCGAATTCACACCCAGGGGGTTAGAAGGGTTTCCTACAACTAGAAGAGAAACAACACATGTTTCTTCTCTTGCAGCACTTTTCGCAAGTCCTTTTGTAGGACAAGCCTAGAGAGGTCAACCATACCACCAACAGCATACAGTACCACAAGGATAGCCAGTCCTAAATATACCTCCCTATGGACCAAAAGGACCTTAAGCACATGAGATTCCACTAAACCCTGTGTTTGTTCCTCCAGTAGTAGTCCAACAAGCATAGAATATGGTTCCTAGGGACCAAATTGCTGATATTGTCAGAGAAATGTGTGGACCTATGGCTCGGGGGTTCAGACTCCTGTATATAGAAAGCCATACCCATAGGGTGCATGAATACCCAAGAGGGTTTAGAATACCAGACTTGCTCTCTTTTATGGAAATGGAAGCCAATCAACAGTAGAACACATTGCCAGGTTTGCTGGCCAATGTGGTGAATTTATCAATAATGATTATATGAAGTTGAGACTCTTTCCAAATTCTTTAACTGGGGCAGCCTTTGTATGGTATATTAACCTTACACCTGACTCTATCTAAACTTGGCAGCAAATGGAGGATGCATTTCATGCCCAATTCTTCCAAATAAAGCCTGAAGTTTTTATGGCAGATTTGGCAAGATTGAGCCAAAGTACTGATGAGAAGGATGTTCAATTTATTGTCAGATTCAAAAGAACACGAAACAAGTGTAGGGTCATTTTACCAGAGCCTGAATTTGTGAGATTAGCTCAAAATGGTTTAGAGTTTAGGCTTTGAAAGAAGTTCGATTCAATTGAGTTTCGAGACTTAGTGGAATTAACCCATAAGGTGTCTAGATATAAATCTTTACTTGAGGAAGAACATGATCAAAATAATGCATCACATAAGACTTATTATAGGGACCCTAATTATGAGATTAATGCAACAAAAATCATAGGGAATAAGGAAAGAGCCTATGACCTGTGAGGCGTTAATTCAGAAGGATAGTACAATAGACCAGCAGTTTAAAAAGAAAGATCTTCATAGGAAGTATTCTTTTGATTTAACAAAAGCAAATGACATTTTTGATCATTTGCTTGCAACAAATTTCCTAAAGTTACCAAAGAGAGTTAAGATCCCTATCCTAGAAAAACTTAAAAGGAAAATGTACTGTAAATGACACAATTCTTGATCTCATTCAACTAAAAACTATATTGTTTTTTGGGACAGGATCCAAGAACATATTCGAAAAGGGAGTTTAAAGTTTCCAGCCAAAGCAGAGAAAGTTATGGGGATTGACACCAACCCGTTCCTAGAGATTGAGGAGGTTACAACCAATGTTGGCATGCCAGATTTCCAAAATCTATCCTTGAAGGAATTGGAGGAGGTTAATGTGCAGATGCATATTGCCAGCCAAACTGCTTTCAAGAAGGATACCAGAAGTTCACCAGCAAATGGACAGAGCTTTGCGGACCAAAAGGATGACTCTAGTGAAGAAACACTAGATGATGACTCTCTTGAGGCAGCTGTCATGTAAAGGGTGTGTCCCAGATGTAGGTTAAGTTACAAATGGTTGAAAGGGCTTCTAATTGATGGGAAACAGCATTACAAGGATGTACAAAGATGCCCTAAGCCAACCAATACCTACAACAAGAGGCCATATCCAACTGGTCCTAGACAGTAGCCATTCTTGGCTGGACCACTAGCTACTAGAATACAATCCAAGGGTAAGAGACATCTGTATGAGTTCAGACCACCCAATTACTACAGGATGGAAGGCAATTATCTTGAGAGAAGGCCTAAATTGAGCTCAAGTCAGGGAATCAGTGTGATAACCCTGTCTAATGTTATGTTAATTAATCTTAATTATGATTGGGGTTATATGCTTAATATGATTTTGAGTGCTATTTATATGATTATATGTGTTTTTGCATTTTTATATGTTCACTGTAGGAAAATCTGTTTGATTCTCTACTATAAAATTTAATTAAAGACCGTAGAGGTGTCAAAAAACGAAATTGACTATATTTTTGCGATTAGCATGATTTTTAGAGCCTACGGTGAAGTTTAATTAAAAAGTAATTCGGATCAAAATAATTAGATTAATCTGATTTAATTATGCTTATTTGATTAGGCCTAAGCCTTAATTAGCCAATATGATTAATGAGACCTATATATATACTAATTAGAGGCCTAATTCACATTTTTGAGCTGATCTTCTCATCTATTGGCTGAGTTATACACTTTAGAGAGGGAAAACACTTGATTTAGAGAGTGAGGAACCAAGTTCTTGGAGAATTGACTTCAAAATTGAGGAGTTTGGAAGCTAGGCTCAAGAATTAGCCAAATTTCAAGGGTTGAAGCTTCTAGGTGAGTAATTGAACTCAAATTCTTGAGTTTAAGTTCATAACTAAGTGAATTCAAAGTATATGTGAAGTTAAATAAATGAATTAAGCCAAGCTTGGTAAATCTTGGTAAATTTGAGATCATTGGATGCATGCATGAGAGGATTGGCCATAATATTGCATATTTGAATGTAAAGCATGTTGATCATGTTGTATTGAGGGTTGTTTGGCACATGCAAGTAAGAATCTTCATATGTTGAAGTTTGATTTCAAGCCTTGAAGCTTGTCCATGCAAGATATAAAGTTTATAGTATGAATTTTGCTAAACCGATGGAATTTTGAACTATGGTTGCAAGTTATCTTCAAATATATGTTTTGGGAGTGTACTTGCATATTTGAGTGTCTTATACACGAATTGGGCCTTTGAAATTGTGATTTGAGCTTCAAACAGAATTCTGGAAAATGAAGAATTCGACCTGTCCGTTCGAGTGAGAAAAGTGTCGCTCGTGCGTGAAAGTCAAGCTCCCAGAAGTTTACAGAAATTACACAACGGCTCGAGCAACCAAAGTCTCGCTCTAGCATACATTGTTTTACAAGACTCCTCGCTCGAGCGTCAAAAGTCTCGCTCGAGTGTAAAATGCATGTAACCAATACTTTCTCAAAGTTTTTCAATCCACTCGAGCGACCAATCTT